GAATTACCAATAACCTTCCAATTAATAATAAAATACGTAAAAGTTGCTAACAATTTAATGTAAAATTATTTAATTAATACAGAATCTAAATCGTTTAATTTCGCTCCTTTTAAATTTAATTTCTAAAAAATTCCTGATAAAATAGCCAAAGTACTTAAAAATCTTTCATGCACGAGTAATGGACAAACCACTGGAACAAAAGTGTGGAAAAATTTGGCGAGTTACTACGTAGAAACAGAACGCGAAATTCCCAACGTCACCGAAAATAAACTCAGAAGCATAATTCACGCTGGTGTCTACGATTCACGCGGTAGGACGGAAGTTGGCCCGCCATAATAAACCGAGCGCGGAGTAACCGGAGGAAATATCCTCAGCTCTGTATACAAACAGCGATAGTACACGAAGCAACCTACCACGCGAATCGTTAATACGACCCAGCAGCAAAAGTAGAAGCAACGCTGCAAAACTCATTTTGCGAATTTTCCTCTCGAAAGACCAATCGTTCAAAAGCGGAAGTACCCTGAGCGACCGTCTCGTGCTTTCTGCTCTTGCGGTTTCCGTCCTCAAATTCGTCACGTATTCAAGGAGAAAACGTACGAGTTCCTCGTAGCCAGTGCTTGAATTTCAAAGGTTTTCATTTTGCCTGGAAACGATTATCGTCTTTGCGGTCAAAGTAACGTTTTATACATCCTGATTGCATGCATTACGTAAAGGAGGAAACCCGTAATCGAAGAAGCGCGATCGGTTGATACATTATCGCTTCTTGGCTAGACAATTCATTAGAAGCGTTTAGATGATTCGTGAAAAGGATGATGCTGAATTATTTACGCGAAACGCGAGTTTTCAGATGTGAATTCTTCAGTTGAGAAGAGGAAGAAGAATAGTTGGTGTCAAATGCAAGTTTTGGGATGTGAATTTGCTTCAAGGACTAATTCGTTTCGATATTAATTTTCTTTGTGGATTAACCCTTTTTTAAGGCTGATGATATTTTGTGAGCAGTAAATAAGAATCGTATAATAATTAACACGTAGAATTATTTAATTTCGATACCTCGCACGCTGTTACATTATTTTAAATTTGATGTATTAATTAATATCGAGCTTCGAAATTTTATCGAAGAGCGACTGAGAGGCGCCTTTTGAGTGCAAAGGAATAATTTATAAAGCGTAAATTATGGGACGCGAATTTGATTAAAAAATTTAAAAAATTAATTCCTTCGAAAATGAATTTTTTAATATTATCTCTCGAGTGTGTAATCTATTAGGAGTATTCAGAGATTTCGTGGAGTGTAAATTTCGTAATGTGAATTGGTTAAATTAATTCCTTTGCAGAGGAAAAAATAAATTGGCCGAAGATGGGAAAGTAAATAAATAATTTAAGACGGTACCAAGGAATGTTTCTACTAAATAGACTTTTCTTCGACACATATTTCTCAATATACCTAGCATGGTAAATATTTTGTTATTCGTCGTTTCACTGAGATCCAATCCGAAATCGTAGTAAATAAAGTTTGTTTGTGACCGCAACTGTAATTCGATGTCTCTACGAAGATTATGATCCAATATCGAAACTTGTTCAGCGAATATTCCTCTGAGACACCTAACGAAACATTACACACGAGATATTCAGCGAATTACAATGCATGTAGATCAAAACGATCGCAAATTTGCTGTCAATTAGAGAAGAGAAAAATTTATTCTCGCGTAAAGATCAAGAGGCAAAATACATATTTGCACTTATTCTAACGTCACATAGCAATCAGTAGACTTATCAACCATCTTAGTCTCACCAATACTGAAAAATATCTTAAAAAATTATTTTCAAATATCCTTAAGAAAATTTCCTGCACAATTATCGAAGATCGCTTTCAATTTTATAATTCCCTCTCTCAAACGTTACAGGATCAGTGGACGATGATACGCGAAATCAACGCGACCAATTAAATGATCCATCATCGTGATCCACCATAGAAGAATAACGACATCGATCAAATTCAATCCTCTATTTGATCAAATTACTGCGATTACTGAAACTACTACGATTACTGAGATCGTTGATAAGATCACAGAGAGGTTTTCAAGGTCGAAGATATAGCAAACGAGGAACGAAACTTCACGCGATTAAGAAAGGGATTTCACGGAACCTGGAACCATCGATGAGGAAGAGGCGCACGTGAACGATCGACATGCGACATCCCGACATGCGTTTCACATTGATCCTGGCAAACGCCGCGAAAAGGTGATTGACAGTTGCTCGTGGTCCCACAGAAAGAGTTGTGGGAAGATCGAGGATGGAGCTGAACGCGTTCATCTGTGTCACGGTGAGTGATCATTCTCTGTCTCCTATATTAACGCATTTGCGATCGATAATTTTACCAGGATCCTAAAGTAGGGAGCAAACAAAAATGGCTATGTACTGTCAAACAAGAATTGACACCTGTGTATACTCGGTACAATTTATCAGTATCAATCAAAGTCTATTTAGGCAATTTTCTATTTCTTAGAATCGCTGGCGATTGATTTTTCTAGCCTTAGTTTAATCACACAGAGTTATGGCAGTACGTCAGCTGTCATTAATGCGTTATGCTAATCAAACGTTCAAATAACGTAGAAATATTAAGATGAAGCGAGAAACATTTTACTGATAGAATTTGTGTATTATTAGAATAGGTTTGCCCAGTTATATGTAGTCTTGGTGATATCTAATCACTGTTCTTATGCTTCTCGATCGACGTATCCCTGCAATTAGATCGATATAGTAACTTGCATTCACTCGACATCAGTATTTATGTAAATGAAATGAAATGATTAATAATTTGTATTTAAATAGGGGAATAAATTAAAAACTAAATTCGGAAGAAAAATAAATACAAAATAAATTAAATATAACTAATAACAGGTAATTATTACAAATAAAGTATAGGTGCCAAATATAAGCTTCTCAAATCCGAGTATTTATATTAATTCGTAAATATTTTATATTAAGACTCATCATACTAGATATGCCTAAGAAAATGAAAATAAAAGAGCAATAATAAGGCAAAAGTGTTAGTGTTAATTTTGGCTAGTGTTCCTACCACGATATTAATTTTTCCTCTGCTAAAAATTATCGTTGTCATTGATTGACAATTTATGAAAAGTGACTATGATAAATCGTTGACATTTTTTCATATACAGCAGTTACCTTCCTCAGGGGTTAAGTGACACTGATAATGTCGCGTGTTTTATGATGTCTGGTAGCTTCGAAACTATACGTATCGATCGTGCTCCGGTCACGAATAAAATTGAGAAAATATCGAGATAAAATTCCTAGGAAGCTCTAAAGAGCAAAGGAATTTTTATTTTATGACACGTACCATCTTGCAATATTAATTTTCACGATCGTAATAACTTTGATAAGACACCAATCCTAAAAGCTAATCACTACTTTACTCGTATTTTCTTATAACAATCTTAATTAATTATGCACAATTCGTTACGTTAATCAGTGTGCATACAGTGACTCAAAAATTCATTTGCAAATCCTCCACACGTCACATTCTGAAAAATCATAATCATGTATTTAATCTCACATCGTGAACCGGGAAATTTGAAATTTGAAGATGCACAGTCTTGCAGAAGTGCACGTTCCAAAGTCAAAAATGTATAAGGCGGTGCAATAATTCTTAGAATGTAGAGTTAGACGAACAAATGTCTGAGTCATAGGATATGCTAATTAGGTAAACCGAGCGTGTCACATAATGTGTTACTGTAACGTAAAAGAGAAGGAAGAGGGAAAGTAAATAAAGGAGGATAAAAGAAAAAGAAAGTAAAGCGTATTTCGTTCGATGTCTGCTAGTATACTTACTGCTAAGAGTTCCTGGCAGACCTTAGAAACGAAGATAGTGGAAGTCAGAGGACGTACTGGTATGGACGAAATGGTCACACGAGGAATTTTGGAAATTCCGTGCTGGTAAACATAGGTCGACATCTCGTGCTAGTCTGTAACTAAATTATTCAGAGTACGTTTAATTTATTTATGCGATCAGGAGACGAAGAACCACGCATGTGTGACACTAACCTGTCATAACGAAATGAAGCTGTTAAACCTATACCAGTCTAGGTTTCGTACAAAATGCAGTAATTAATTCAAATTGTTACAGATATTTAAACAAACTCATATCGTATATAATTAAAAGAAGAAATTAACGTTTACTATATACGGTGTCCATTTTAATTACGATTAAGACGATTATTTGCCTAAATATAGGGAATGCAAAAATATGTTTCAAAGTCTGGATTATCACCATGATATTCCAACTTTTCTGTGAAATAATTCTCGGTACTTTGATGCAAAAGAATATATGCAAATGACCATGGTTCACACAGTTAGGTGACGGATATTTCAATAAACCGTTCGAAATGGCGTGTGTCTTCTCTGCCAAATGTCTCGATTAGATAATATTTCGCCACGCATCATAGATTCGTTTCCATCGTCACGTGTTACGTCATGTCTTTTCGACTCTTAACGAACGCACGATACACGTATGCTTGCTCATCGAGCAAGATGCCGACGCGAGACATCGTTTTGAATACTTATCATTGCGCGATGCAACGCGTACGAATCGACCCGCGTGAAATCTCATGCCGAAAAACCTGGCACATTCGTTTCATCTTCGTCGAGAGCGGATGGCTCACTCGCAGCTTCGAGAAACTAGTTCTCGTGAACTTTTAGTCTATTAACTTTTAATCCGTCCGACGGCCTTTAAAGCAGACGTTAAATGTTAAAGCAGGCTCACTTATTATATCCCTGAACATGATTCCCTGATTTTTATTTCACGAGCTTAAAATTGCGTTCGGATAAATAAAAATTGATAAAAATACCGATTTGTCAGTCATATCTGAATATTAAAATATAATATTGTATAAATATAGTAAAATAGTAAAATATACGATATATAATATTTTGACAACTGTAAAAATTTTGGGAATTATTTTTAGAAACGGTTCGTGGTATAAATGAAGTATAGAAGCATTAAAGAATACTACGAAATGTAGTATAAATATAGAAAAATTATTCAGCTGCATTTAAAATATAATAAAATATATTTTAATAGCGCTAAAAGTTATAAAGCTGTAAAAAGAAAAAGGATAAGGATAATCGTATAACGCGTAAATAGGTATGAATATATTATGGCACTTTTACTTGATATCAGCTATTCAGTTTCAGCGTTCCTCGATAAAGATAACGTTACAAGAAGTTACTCGAAGTTAAATGAATAATGCATTAATTCTGCACAACTTCGAAGAATCTTAATATAATTTCCTAATTCTTTATCAGACGTCTGTCGATATGATATAGGTCGTAAGTCTCGAGAAATCGAATTTTCCCTCGTTCGATCATTGCGAATCCCTGACATTGACGAGCCGTAGACTCCTTTGTGTGGCCGGAAGTAGCGGCCGGGACACCGACTTCCGGTCCCCATGTCTTACTAGGCAGACGTGTATTACCATCACGCGAGTCTGCATTCTTGTTGTCTGATGGGATCGTCCTTCGAACGGGATTGCTCTCGCGTACATTCCAATTAGAGAAAGCATTGATTAATATAATTCCTTCATCTTCGAATATTATTTATTTCCATCGCTGGATATTTCATAATTTCTCTAGTCTCCCAGATTTTACATTTTAAAAATTCGATACACTCTTAACTTGGAAATCTTGCTTTAGGAAAGTGAATATATGTCGTTTAATGGTACATAGGTCTATGTAATTAAATGACGAATTTAATTCAGTCCTAATTGAATGTATACTTTGTATATGGTTTATAGTCTCTGCTTGGTCAGAAATTTTTGGAAAATTCCGCAATGAATAAAGCCTGTCCTATGTCGTTGCAGACACGTAAAAGAGGTCATCGGATAAAATGAAGCAAAAGAAGAAAATCAGCTTTTCGAGATACCATAAACGGAATAACAGAAGACACGAAATAAGTCTGTTAAAAAATAATTCAACAGAATTTTTAGAAGCGAAATATCGATCACTTTAATGCAAATAATTATTAACTTCTTTCCGGATATTTCGGGTAAGATGTCTATCCTAAAGGGTTCCTCTCAGCCGCGAGACAAAGCTCACGTAACAATGACAACAACAAATAAGAAGAGATAAGGAGAACTACGAAGAACGCGAAAAGAAAGGACTTGATACCGTATTTAATCACTGGAATGACCGCATTTAACCCAGTTAGACCTAGAGCATAATTTACACGCAAAAATCCAAAAAGCTGATACATCGAACACGGACTATACACTGTATACGTAACTTCCTAAATTAAAATGACACGATTCAGACGAAATAAATATAGCAATAAGACAAAAATGAAAGCACCTAACCCTTTACACTCTCATATCTTCTCGTTGCAAAGAAACAGGAATTCGAATCTTTCCTTACATTTTTGTAAGCTTGCTGATACTTTTTACCCCAAAATAGAAAGAGAAAAGCACGTGTCTACGTGAGAAATGAACGCATAGAATTATTTCGTAGCATTATTTTATGATTAATTATTCTCACTATAGCTATCGTCTGCTATCCATTATTTAAAATATAACATTACAACAAATGGCGATCAAGGGTCACCTCAAAGGGTTAATAATAATAATATTAAAGACTCCAGTGCTTTCATACAGTCTGTTAAGAAACTTTCGGCCAGACCTCAAAGGGTTAATAATAATAATATTAAGGACTTCAGTATTTTCGTACAGTTAGTTAAGAAACTTTCGGCCTGGCCATCCTATACAAAATGAAAAAGGAAGGAAAAAATATGGGAACCTAGAACCCTCTACTTCTCCTATTACACGAGAACCGCAGAAACTCGCGTGTACCAAAGAACATTAAACCACGCTGTACCACGTTCCCGCGTTCGCGACCATATCCCCGCGTAAGATCGCAAATATTAAAGTCCGCCATAGCAGCGAGCCGCGTGTGGACAAATTTCGCCGTTGGTCGCCGTGGTAAAAATGCTGGGACACGAGTTTACAATAAGCTCGGTGTTTGCGCTGGGTATTGGCGTTTGTCATACAGATATTACATGGTCGACGAACCTTGAGAATTTCCTGGAAAGAACGTAACGCCTTGGCTCTACGTGGAACACGTCGTACCAAACGCGGTTCCAAACTCATTTCACGTACAGACCCGCTGATATCGCCGATATGAGCGCGGAATTTTATTCCCCATCGATGTCACGGAACCCTATCGACGTTTATAAACGTCACTTTTACGCTTGTGTTCCGCGCCGAGTACCGCCGAGAGTTCCTCAAACTTCTCACGAATCCGGAATCCTTGCATTTCAAAATTGCTCCATCGATTAACGAAATTTCGCGCCATTTTGGTACCTCGTGTTTATATTCATACTTTTGGAATTCTTTTTTTTGAGAAGAGTAGAATGAGGAAGATAACAGAATGAAGATGATTAAATGATCTTGGTGTACTGTTTGAATACTACACGAGTTTTGTTATTAATTTTAAATGGCGTCGAATTTTTCATATTTTCGTCAATTCGTTCGGATAATTCAGAAAAGAGTTCTTTTTCATAAGAAAATTCAAATTTGAATGCATGGAATTACATTTTTAATAATAACAGTAGTGTTGGAGGAATATTATTTATTTGACAAATGAAATGTTTCATTTGATGGTGAGCAAACCATGTCGATGTAATTCAGTCAATATTTACCGGCAATCATTATTTATTCTGGAATATAGGAAATGAAACTTCGCGAGAAAATTATTTATTTGTTGTACTTAGGATATTTTTGTATATTATTTATTTAACTGTCATATGTTAATAATAAAAGATTTTCAAATACGAATAACATCAACCGAGATAGGAAAGGATTTTTACAATTAATATGGCGTTGAATTAAAATGATAAAAATTAAAAATGAATCTAACCTTAGTTAAACAAAGGGAAGGTAAATAAAAGTAAGTGAGATAAAACAGGGTACTTAAGGGAATAATAGAAGCGACAAAACGTTGATCTATAAACTCCGAACACAATAAAACACGTTATCTCCGACAGTTTATATTTCTCCACGGTTAAACCTTTCCCATAAATAAATATCGATAAAAATCGAGCATTCTGCGGCAATTGAATCGAAGAGAGGAGTGGCATCGCCACGAATATTTCTCTTCTATCGACTACCTAAGGTCATAACGAAAGTTTAGCTGTCGCTTCTTAGGTGGCCTCTACCAAAGTCCGTCACGTACAACACGTGTACGTGCCCTGCGGATTTATTGCAGTCATACTTCGTGGTTTCGTCATAACTCCGCGGTGAGAACATGTCAGTTTCATGAAATTCGGTGGAAAGTACTTTCCCTTAGAGCTCGTGGAGTTCGACGTTTCCAATAACAAGTTTCCCACGACCCCTGCCGTAGAAGTTTATTCGCGAAACGTTATTCCTCGAATCGCCAATTATGAATATAAATCTTCTTTTTACCGAACAAAATTCAAAATAAAATCGAACTTGTAAGAAATCGATGAACGACGAACAAATAAAAATTAAACAAGCAAAAATATTCCATGTATGCTTCAAAATTGACAGTCCCCCCTAAATCTCTACATAAATGTACAATTAATAGAATATATATTAATAGAATATTAATTATAATAAATAGAATTAAAATAAAAAACGAGAATAAAGAAATTTCAGAAATTTCATGGAAGAAGAGAAGCATATCGTTATTTCCTAGTAGGAAAAGAATATCGTTTTTCTTAATAAAAAAAAAAAGGGAAAAAAGAGTTACACGTTGCCATTGATACTGATGAGCAATCATGTACACCTATCTCACTCGGTTACGTGAAACACGTAATTCAATAATTGGCTCACGTTACAGACTGTGGCGATAGCATCGATAGCCTTGATCGACACGATAAACGCGAACCCACCGTACTACGTGAAACCCATCGAGGACGAGAACGACTATGCTCGTGTCCTGGAGCTTTCGCTTTTGTTTTACGAGGCGCAACGATCGGGGAAGCTGCCGGAGAACAATCGAATCCCATGGAGAGGGGACTCAGCGCTAGACGATCGAGGTCTGAACGGGGAAGATTTGACAGGAGGCTACTACGATGGTAGTTAGAAACTATATACCAATTACAATAAATGAAAAAGATATTTGAACACATATATATACCTTGACCTCTATCTTCTACATTTCAAATAAATACACAATTAAAGAACATAGAGTCTACTATACTATGTCAGAGTATGGTTAAAACTTTGCACTCGAAGGCTTTTTCGCTGAATCGGATGTTCATAGATAGATCTCCGAAAATTTATGTTGATTTAGCGTACGATTAAATATCGTGATAGTGATTTTATGATTATAAACAATTTTAGCTGGCGATTTCGTGAAGTTCGGCTTCACAATGGCGTCGACGACCACACTGCTGGCATGGGGTGCCGTCAGTTGGCCAGAAGCTTACAACGCGGCTGGCCAACTAGACGAGCTTCGCGAAGCCATCAAATGGGCCACAGATTATTTCATCAAATGCCACGTGAGCGAGTACGTTTTTTACGGACAAGTTGGTGACTTTTCTCTGGACCATACTTTCTGGGGAAGGCCTGAAGAACTGAACACCACCAGACCTGCCTACAAAATCGATCCTGAACATCCTGGTACGACGATACGATATTTATTACCCCCTTTCGCGCTTTTACACGACTTTTCTTCATACGTTTTGTTCAGTTATGCGATCTGTTATTTTATTATATTTTTAAGAAGCTGCAAAATATTTTAATTCGCGAATCAATTTTTTTACGACCAAAGTACATCGCACTCTCTTTTTAATACGAGAAATATCATTCTTTGTTCGTCCATCGACTAGAATATAATCTTCGGCCACCTAGATACATACTTTCCAAGTAGATCTAATTATATAGATATTATTTAATTTTGAGAGCTTGATACTATGTGCAGAAAGAATCAAGGATTTTCCGGTTCCTTTTGGGGAAAATCTGCCTGAGATCCTGTATGTCACAGATATACTACTTGTTATTAACTTTGAATGAAACAGGGAACATAATGAGTGGGTTTCATGGGAGTTGCTAGTTTCGTGAGAGCAACCAGTGTAATGTGCATTTACCGAAAGTTCATAATTTTGCAGAAAACTTTCGTCAAACGTATATCACCGGAGTTGCGTTTCTCGTCGCTGTTCAACTTGTCTGACAGCGAAACATTCTGAAATATTTATTTAAACTGTACAGTGTGAATTTCTAAAGCCATATAAAATATCAAGCACGCCTATCTTTTTACATGGAAAATTGAATAGAAAATTTCCTCGTATTCTGATTTTGCCTCGCCTTTGAAATTTATGAAAGGGAGTAAACGAACCTGGTTGCCAATAATTACAGAACAGTGTGAAAATTTTGATATTATTTGTTCGACGCTATATCTTAGATCGAAGAATTAACAATTACCCAAAAAGTAACATTTTATTTAAAATATTTATTACTCGGGGTATCGTTAAGAATCTTATTAATTTCTTAATCTCGTTTCCTATTCTGTGCCATGCTCTTTCTAAGATTTCACCGTTTCGCGTCTCTTATATTTCTTCCTCCTTCGACTCTTAAATAATTCCATACGTGATCGATAAGATACAACTCGAACTGGCATTTACCGCAGTGCTTCGAACGAAGTTAGGAACCAAGGGAAACCATAAATAAACAACGCTACTAATATTTAAAAAATTCCAATAAATACTGCTCGAGTAAAAAGATACTTAGATCTACCATTCGATGATTTTCTAGATCGAAGACTATTTACAAGTACATTGCTATGCTTGCTAAACTACCGTGGTAATAATAGTAATACTCGCAATGTTTGCAGGCTCAGATCTGGCAGGCGAAACCGCGGCTGCCCTCGCGGCGTCCAGCATCGTCTTTCGAAACCACGACCCGGAATACAGTACCAAATGCTTGAAACACGCAAAGGAACTGTACAAGTTTGCCAGTAGATATCGAGGCCTTTATCACGAGGCGATCCGTGGAGCAGCTCAGTATTACGAAAGCACCGACTATGGCGACGAGTTAGCATGGGCAGCCGTGTGGTTGTTCAAGGCGACGAACGACACGATGTACCTCGAGGATGCCGAGCATCATTACCAGCATTTCCATCTCAAAGAAAGGCCGAACGAATTCTTTTACAACAAGAAGGTCGCTGGCGTTCAGGTGAATTCAATCAGGTCTCCCGAAGTAACGAGAAATGAGAGAATAGAAGAGAGATATTCCCTTTTTCTCTTAAATTATATTTTAATTGCAATATTATTTAATTATAATCAGCGAGGAATTCCTATTTTGACAAATTATTACAATTTTACTTTTCCATTTGTACTATTCTTTTCTCGCTTAACACTAGGTTTACGAACGTCACCTGTATACCTATTTCTAAGGACACCTGTCAAATTGACAGGTAACGGAAACCACCTGCCTTTTCTTTTTAACGATTAGTTTAATTTAAAAACAATTATACATTATATTAACAGTCTTAATATAAGTTAACTAAATCTGTTACCATCGTATAATTGGAGCAACCCTTCCGTCAAATTGACGGGTTTCGTAAATCTAGTGTTAAATTAGGACAAATTTATTCTAAACGTGGCTGTCTTAATAGAATTCGAGAAAAATGAATGAAATATTGATGTAGAATTAAAGAAGGAGGAATATTCTATACACGATGAATTAAGGTCGATGTTTTCGTTGGTTTGACAGGTTCTATTGGCCCAGATGACAGGACAGCCGGAATATCAGAACGCGGCGCGAGCTTTTTGCGATTTCTCGGTGCGCCAACAAAAACGTACACCGAAGGGATTACTCTATATCGACAAGTTCGGCACCCTCTGCCACGCGGCGAACGTCGCGTTCGTTTGCCTGGAGGCGGCCGACTCGCCCGATATCGGCGACCCGCAGGAATATCGTGAATTTGCGGAACAACAAATTTACTATATGCTGGGAGGGGGTGGTAAGCTTGCTATGATACACGACTTAGTAGAAAATTGTGCAGATCGACTCGACGAACCAGATCCTTGCTCCGCTTTACGGAAACACCCATATACCGATAAAAGCATAGAATGAAACAGAATAATAGCTTGGTTCAGTGGAACCTCGATTATCCATGCTCACCGAAACAGTATAAAATTAAAAAATAATATATTAGTAATTATGTCAATAAAATTGTTGGGTCCCGAACACTGTAAGGCCCGTTACGCTGTTGCGACAGTGCTGAAGGGATGAGGTTTAATCTAACATGATCGAAATTGCCTTGATTAGGTTTTTAAATGATCGAGTTGAATCTTGCGCAACTGTGTGATGTGTAAGTATAATCTTGATCGAATCTGATTGAACGTGGTGTATCTTGTGTTGATTATTGAGTTCGACCCCTGTGTCTCGGTGATTCTATAGCTTCGGGTGTGTCGTGAGTGATGGATGCGTGTTTTCCTATTGGTTGTGTATGTCTTGTTAGAGGTGTGTCGGCTTCGACGACTTTCGATGGTGGTGGATGTTTAACCCTTTCGCTATGGTGGGCCCCACCTAGAACGATGCACAAGGTGTAAACATTATGTGTGCGCAGTCTTTAGCATTCGGGACCAAGTCTTTTGAAAAAGAATAAAAAAAGAAAAAAGAAGATCCACCATCGCAATAGCGCTTGCAATTCTTTGCGAAGAGAGCTAAGTAGAACAATAGCACTTGCCTTAATTTTTGACACGATTTTGGTGGCCAGTGACTATAGTTACCAATTGTGCGAAAGTGGCATCTCATGGCCGGTGACTATAGTCATCCGTATTAGAGAAAGGATTAAACAAATTGTGACCGCTGTGCTCATCGTCTAAGGGTGATTTATTGACCCCTGCTAGGGACTGACAAGAGTGACAGCCGGGTGACCCTAGGGTCCCTGAGTCACTGAACCCTGGCAATAAAAGAATAAAAGTCTCCCACCTTGAAACAGAAGAAAAATAAAGAATTTATTGATATATAACTCGAGTTTATAGGAGTCTATCTCTAATTAAGCTATTATAATATAGACCTCGAAATTTGATTAGATTATATACCTATAGAAATTCACAAAAATAATTAAACATAAACACCTGAACCAACTTCCTCTTTATAATCGCAATTAACCAAAGCTCAGTTCCTATCTCAGGCAGGAGTTACGTGGTCGGCTGGGGCCGAAATCCTCCGAAGCAACCGCATCACGCTGCTTCATCCTGCCCAGACAGGCCAGCCATCTGCGGATGGCCCGAGTTCGACAAGGACGCTCCCAACCCTCAAATCCTGTATGGCGCCCTGGTCTCCGGACCCGACGAGGCGGACAAGTTCCACGACCATCGGGAGGATTACGTGTACACGGAAGTCACGTTGGATTACAATGCCGGATTCACGAGCGCGTTGGCCGGTTTGCTACAGCTGCGAGTGAAGAGCACCGCGTAACGACGCTTCCTCGTGTTTGGCCAAGGATCCAGGAACTACTTTGCTCTCTCAACTGGAGCAACTCGTCGAAACGGAGAGGGAAGACTTCGTCGTGATCTGTCTGTGAATCGTCAAATAAGAACGATTGGATTTACGATGAAGAATCTGTAGTCGGAGCTCGATGAAATTCTTTCGAGAGACTCGATAGAGGTTTGCCTCTGCGAGCTGATGGGAGTAGTTAGTCAAACGTTTTGATTTTTGTATCTCTCGAGTAAAGAGATCCCTGTACTCTGGTAATATTAACCCCTTGACTACGGCAAATTTTGATACGCAGCGGCCGGCAGGAATTGAGTTACGATGTGCGCCATTTTTGTGAAAACAAGCGCCCTCCATGTCATAAAGCCTAACTACGTCAAGCGTCTATAGGTGCCCTCTGTGTCACAAACGCAAAATTTCTAAGCGTTCATAGGTGCCCTCCGTGCCACCAACGCAAAATTTCTAAATGTCCTTAGGCGCCCTCTGTGTCACAAACGCAAAATTTCTAAGCGCCCATAAGGGCCCACAGTAGTCAAAGGGTTAAAGCAATTTGGCAGAGAAGGCGACTTATTCTCAATAAGAGTATTTATGGTGACTATGAATCGGGGGTTCGGGGGGTTCGAATAGATAGTCGCGGCCATGATCGATGCGTCGTTTCTCTTCGGATTGGATAGATATTTTATTATACACTTGAGGGTTTGACGAAGTTGGATGGAGTTTAATTGCAACTGATGTAACGTTTGTTGATGCGAGAATGAAATTTTGTTCCTCATGGACGTATATAGGATTTTATCGAACAGATGTCTAGTTGATTGTGGCTTTAACAGACCGACTCGATGATGTATATATAAGGGTTGCATAAGGGTTGATGGATGTAAGGAGTCTGGTCCTTTAACGAAGAGTAATATACGTTCTAAAATTAACACGATTGAAGGTATTACTCGGTTATATCGTACGAACTTGAGAACGAATTAAGGTACCGTAGGTATGTATATTTTTTTGAAAACTAGGCGAAGAGTTTATTTAACGCGTTTCCTAGAGATGTAAGTGCAATCGGTTATTCGAATTGAATAATTTAAATAATTTGCTCCTACTGTACATAACACGAAGCAAATGTCGAAAATTAATTTCCTCGTCTTATTTAATAATTTTATACACATAGTGTATCATAAACTGTACACGTCGTAATGTCACGTTAGGGTATGAAGAAATTTATACGTCTTCGATTTCTCTGTTTATCTTCGACACTGTAATTCATTTCCCGATAAATACATATTATTATTGTTTTTATTATTATCCTTCGATTAAGACGAGCTTACTACGATAGCTACGAATATCCATGCGATTAGAGAGCGATATAAACGAAGAACAAAGTATAATTGTTCCTGTTATAAGCAAGATAATGTTTAATGTGTATTATCTTAACTATCTGACCATGCATAATTTATATGCTTCCCAGTATGCTAGACCAATGTAATATTTTTATGCAGTGAACACACATTTTCCAATACTGTTAGAAATAAATGTTCGAATATTTTCCATAATTTTTCAATACCTAGCAAATTTCATTTCATTTCCTCCCGCACTGTAATACCAATAAACATCCTAAATAATAATTCATAAGGTACTACGATACAGATATCGCTATAAAAAATATAATTAATATTATATCGCATAATTCTTTAGTTCAGTTGGAAACCTAACTAATAATTAAGCTAAATAAATTATTTGGAATTATTATAAGACTGCATAAGTGAAGTGCAATGATTAGAGTGATCTCGTGACTCTAGAGCAGGAAAAATCGAGATCTCAAGATCTCTAGGTCTCCTGAGGAAGGATGCACGACCTTAGGACCTTAGAAGATCGAGATCCCATCGGTCTTCGAGTGCTCTGAGAGAAATTTCACTTTGGCCACGGAAGTTATGCTCTTCGATTCCTTCGATGGTTCAAGGTGGTTCAATTTTCCGATGGCCTGAAGCTGGGGAATAACCCTTATTCCTTCAGTGACCCGAGAGTCATTCCACGACCTCGAGGCTCGAAGATTCAACATCCCAACACCCTTGGGTGCTCTGAACGGAATTCCATGGTATACAGCTATCCCTTCTATTCTGGAGTAATATTTGCACGAACAAGAATCGATAAGTTACCCCTTCCCCTGTAATCTGCTATAACACGCTGGAATTTCGAAATTTTCCGCATGAGAAAAATGAATATTCTAGGAATTTTTTTGAAAAGAAAGAAAAAAAGAGCGAAGTAGAGCTTGGGATTATATATGTGTCTAATATAGAGGATATCACACAGACATTACACAGTTCTAACAGAGAAATGCTTCACCTCTGTTACAGTTCAACAGAGTATTACCACGAGCTTGTTCACGACTGAGTCTTTAAGGTCACTTCTAAACTGACTCTAGGTTCACTGCACTGAGTCAACTCCAGGACCACTCTCAATAATAGGAATGAGATAAATTATTGATTCAAAGACCAAAGTTATTAATTCCAGTTTCTGAATTCTTTTAAATTTTTCCTGCTAGGTAAGGTCGACCTAGACAGGTCTTAATTTCGTGTAAATCAATCTTAAACTAGATAAATGTACTAGATAAATGTACATAATACAAGAGAAAATTTGCAATTGCAGAGAAATCTCATTCCTGTTTTATTCCTTTTCGTATTTTATTTGGATCTATTTACCAATTTTCTGGAGGTACTGTAAAATTGTTGATATATTTTAAATAACATTTATAAATTTTTACCCGGACGATGTGAAATATTTTTGGTATTTTGCGAGGAAAACAATGATCGGTCATTGTTATACGAATCGAGTGAATACACTCTTCTGACCGATTGTTCTGTTAGGTCTCCAGTTACGAGGCTTATATCGAAACACGATTTTTCCATATCACTTGCGTCAGCTGCTTCGCTTCAGGTGCAGTCACCATTCAACGACGTTCGATATCATGTTCCTAACGTTATGGAACCGAAGTGTGTCGTATTCATGTGTACTACACTATTTGCTCTGTTGCTATTGATCACCGGGATTCGTCCTCAGAATTTCGACGACAGAGGTTGGTATATTTGCTTCAACAAGATTTATCAAAATCTTCATACTCCTCTATGCGTAACAACTGGCAAACTAATAAACATTTCATGGTAGCCATTCTAAAATGTAATATATTTTGTCGTAAACCCTCTTACTAGCATGTGATAAACCCTGCGACTACCAAATCAGTCGAAATGACTGTATAAAAATTTTCTAATTTCACAGTTACTAAAAATATGCATGTGAAATTTGAAAAATTATTAAATTTTCGAACGATAAATATTATTGAAGAATTTAACAAATTTTTATATCGTCATTGCACGTGGTATGCTTAGAAGACAGAAAAATCGAGGAATTATTAATATAATATTTATAATATTCAATTGGTAACCTATTTTATATTCGACTGCAGAAACTATCGATGGAAACAATCACAAAGGGTGTGCATACATGCATTGCGAGGGGAATGATGTCTGCGTACACAGGAAATTCCGATGCAAAGACCCCCCATGCCCCAGCATGCTGTTCTGCGCCAAATCTCGTACGGGTGAGTGTCTCGATGATCACCCTCGTTGAAATTTAATTGTGCTGCGAGACGAAGCTCACAAAGAACGCGATTAACCGTGATATAATTCTGTATCGCATAAACGAGCTGAAACAGTGCTCAAGTTGTACAACTATTCGCGTTCAGCTGTTGCTTTGAACAGGCATACGGTAGATTTCGAGTTATCCGACACAAAGGAGAAATGAAATTCCAGAATGATATACATTTCTCAAGGACTACCGAAAGCTAGCTCTTTGTCTATATCGTGGAATTTTCATTTACAACGAAAATTTACAATTTCAAGCGAGAAAACAAACATGTATCTAATTTCTAATAACGTTCACTCATTTGGTTTCGTAGGAATGTTATTTTAATTATGAATAAATAATTTGCGAAATTTGATGTCCTTGTCAGAACGTAACGAATCTATTGTGGTTGATAATCGATGTTAAATTTGTCTTTTAAGAATCTATAAAGGGTCCCTCCACCTGTGACAATGTACAGTGCACCAATGGATACGTGTGTATGTTGAAGGTTCGACGTTGTCATTGGGACGCAAGTGAGTGCATTATAAATTACAGATTATTTTCTGAATATAGAAACAGAATTAACTATAAATGGAAGAAATTTATCGGTGGAAATGTTTATAATTCTGTAATAAGATGACTATTTCCCAAGTAGACACTCAATAATTTCGCTACCACTAGAGTTTAAGTAAAAATATAAATATTGCGTTATTCATAAAAGCCAAATAAATTTATTAAAAATAATTAAGAAAATTAAATGAGTATACGTACTTGTTGATAAGGAATTCCGTATTAATCAGAATGCGAGCAACAGATAGCAAGATGCGTGTCCCGAAAGGAATACCACGAGGGGCCCGCTTCCTGTGCAGGGTTCAAGTGCCCTCGAGGAAACCACTGCATCCTCCGGGAGTCGTTCTGCGCCAGTCCACCATGTAAATTGTTAAGAAGCTGCGGGAAGAACAAAGGTTCACGTTGTACCTGACCTCCATGTTCTTAAAGATTTATGAATATTTTATAATATTCTGAAAATTCCTTTCTCGTCCATATCATACGCGAATATTACTATAATATATAAATTAATTAGAGGCTAATAATTGCAGACAAATAAGAACAAGAAAATTCTGTGAAATTTATCAATTGCAAATATCGATAATTAAAAGTAGTAAAAATATTTTAAATATTCCTATATAATTAATTTTATAGTTACGTCATATCCTTTCACAAAAGAACCAAATACAACAGAATACTCTTGACCAAAGTAACTCAAATCGATAAAATCCTGGTCAAATACAAATTATTTTTTAACTTTCTTGATAACGATTAGTCATTGCAAATGACTATTCCTGCAGAGGTGAATCTGTGGTTTGGAAGATGTCGAAATCTCGGTTGTCCATCAGAGTACCAATGCTTCCTACGAAGACCAGAAAATAACTGCACGAATCCACCATGCAAACATACACCGGATTGCATAATTACGAGAGGTAAAAATTAAGGCGAATTAGTACGTTTCGCGTGCAGATTGCGGTTAATTATAATTAATCATTCTGCATAAACTGCGAAGAAAGTTGCATTTAATTTGACGTGACGAGCGTAATTCGCATAACAACAACGCGATTTGTTACTCCTGTGTAATCTTTCAGAGAACGAAGTGACAAATGAACATTGTCGTGGATGGATGTGCCCAAGAATGCAAACGTGTGCAGCAGAAATTCTAGGTACCTGCGAAGCGAATGAGTGTAATATTAAGAGAACTTGTCACGAGGTGCACGTGATAGCAGCAAATGATTCTTCATCGTTCTCGAGGAGATCCTTGAAGAATAAGGACGAAATACCTGGAACTGATACCGAGGTGCCTTTACTTCCCTAACGAATAGGATTGCTCTCGGATATTAAATGAAAATGTTATCTTTTTCCTTTTTCCCCCCGGTATTATGTGAATCGTGCTTTAAACAGACAGCACTGTAATCATGAAAGTTTAAAATGACTGGAATAAATCAATTTTAGTTGAAACTGGTTCAATGAAAATATGAGGTAATTTATTTTGAATGAAAGTAAGGCGGTAAATAAATTAAATTGTTCAAAATAATAATTTAAGTGAGTTATCTGTCTGAAAAATGAACGTTAGTTCAAAGTTACAAGTCTCGTTTTTAATACGATAGATAAATTAGTGAAATTAATTCTTCTCCCGTTATTTTGCGAATTTTATAAGTTAAATATGTAATTTTTACATTGTATGATTTTACTTTGTTAATTATTGATTTTTATAGTCGAATTAATTAAGGAAATTTAAGATGGAATTTTAACTGGAACAAATTTTATTATAGGCATCTAAGAACAACCATCAGGGAAATGAACTGGAAGGAACAGAGTGAGTTCTAATATTTTTCCATTATTTTTGTGGAATAAATTGCGAAATAAAAGATATTTCTTTAAATTCTAAGAAAGTTTCCGTACATTTTTGCACGTGTGTATAAACTAATATTACTTATTTGAATGTCGAGCACTATGCAGAATGCCTCACACATGGCTGGATCACTTAAAATCGAAAACTGAATTAGACACATTCGAGCTCTGGATAAAAACTGCAGAGGGACAGAAGGATTTTAAGGTATGATCCTTAGATAAATTATTTCTTCACAGAACTCCTAATAAAATAAAAAATTTCAATTACACAGTAGAATATAAATTTCACCAATCTCATTCCTGTAAGAAAATATCGGATTCTCAAATTTTTAAAATTACAAATTTACGAATCTCCTGATATTTAAATTTCAAAATTTCGAAGATCAATACCATCTGCGTAAACTATCACCCCTTCCAGCAAAACTCGTGAAAATACGCCGAGTAGCAAAACGATTTAGTAGATCCAACTGTGATTAAAATTTACTGTGATATGACCGTGACGAGACATAAAAGCACATCCTTTGCTTGCCATTTATCGGACATCAAAGTCACGACGATTCCTCCGAGTCTCGCGGAACCCAGCGTTTCTGGGGCTCTTCACGTTTCCCGATAAAAGCTCTCCAGCATCCGTTATTTCCAGCAATTTCAAGATTGGCTTCGATCTATCAAGGACATACCCGGCTCCGGTGCGTACAGTGACTGGCTGGAGGAACTTCTGTCATCTCGCGGCGAGGAGTTTCGAAAATGGCTGCGAGCGTCACATGGCAAACCCGACGCGGAGGAATCGACATTTCCGGTAGAAGAACGATCGCGTACCACGTCGAAAAATCCATACCCGGTCCATCGTGATACAGGGGTAAGTAGAAGATGAAATTTTAATCGAAAGTCAGACGAATTGGACGAATCACTCGTGGTTATTTATGGCTACGTTGACAGCGGAGAGACTCGTGCATATTACGAAAATGGATCGCCGAGATTGAGTTGCGTAAGTTCGATGGGGTGAATGTGATTCGTAGCACACGCGACATGTACGTGTACAGAGTGAGATTAATGTTCGCGATAAAACTAAAGAGAAATTATCGGGCAAAATGGAGGGTGAAATGGGGTCGGACTGAAAATTAAGCAAACTAACTGTGGAGTAGTAAGTTTGTGGTCATGCTGGGTCGCAGTTGGGTATTAATCAGGTGTTTCTTGATGCTGGGACTGTCAGCTAGTCGAAATGACTGGTTTTGTTTTCGTGATTACTGAAAATATATAGCTGCTTTTGGAGAAATTAATTTTTACTTTTATATTGACGATGAAAATTTATTTTCAGTGTCGACTGTACTAAATAATTTATGTACACGATATAAGTCGATAGTTATAGCGTTAAAAATGCTCCACGGCTTGAATTCTCAGATAGACTTAATTCTCGAATCTTAACTCTGGTTCTTAATCCACAGTTGTTAAATCTCAACTAACTCGATATTTTTCTGACTAGATTATTTTCTTTTCACTCTGTACAACCACTTCAAAAAGACGTTCAAGCACATCTAGCTAAAAGCTTGGATGCATCCTTCGTTCACGCGATAATCTTGAGCACCTGGTCCAGCCCCTCTTCTTTCACACCCCTAACACTCTGAGCCAAGCACTCTTCATTCGCACATCTATTTCTTTAAGCACAAACACTTTTCCTTTGATCAATATAAGTCCTGACACTCCAATAATTTATCATCTTATATTTTCTATACTAATTTATTAGAGCATTCTATACTAAATTATTTAATATTTCAATAATTAATTACACTCTCTATACTAATTTGTCTATTATTTCAATAATTTATCTTATACTTAATCGAATTGACAATAGAGTGTAATGGAAAGTCGACTATTTTGAATTTTAATTTTATCACCAAATTTTTTATAATAGGTCATCAGATTTGCTATAATTTTTGCGGATGATGCGACTTAACTAATAATTAACTTGAATATATAAAAATTAAGTTCGATAGCTAGTGAAATTGTTTATTTACAGAATGTACATTCAACAGACGATTTTAGTGAAAGGATGGAAGAAATTGGGTCTCTTCTGAGGGAAAAGAACTTGACGAATATCCTAGAGAAGATCTTCGTTCCAAGTAGGACTTTGTTACCATCGTACATCGTTTTGGAAACCGATGTTCTGAATAATCTAAGAGATTCCAATTCTCTGTTTCTCAATTACCTTCTGAAGTACCCTTTTTATATAGGAAATCAATTTTTCCCGCTACAATCACCAAGAATCGAGGATGATCAACAGTTCTTAGTAGTTCCCGTGAAGAACATGAAGGAATTAGCTAATTCTCAAATTATCAACTATGATCCTGACATGCAAGATCATCGTGGAGTAATTAAGGAAAATGAGAGAACATCTGGGAAACAGGATAATCTCTCTCTGGTATGTATCTATTTATTAAGTCATTCTTGATGAGAAGAAACCTTGATCTTTTTATTACTCAATTTTTTTTTATTCCTAAAATAATTCCATATTTCGATTTCATAAATTTTAATTAAACATTGTTCTCAGAATATTTTCAACAGCAATTATACATTTTTCCCCGAATGTTATTAATTTCAGTCGGACATCGTGCTCCGATTACCTCGAATTTTAATCAAAATCGTTTGGACGTGATTCGAAATTTAATTCAACAAAAATTAATCGAGATCAACGAAAATGACGTTTTAAAAAATCAGTAATTATGTTAAATTAATAATAAATTAATATCTTCGGTATCGAATGTTTGAAACTTAAAACGTGCATTAATTAAAATTGTCTCCTAATCAATACGTAATTGTTCCCTAAGAATGTTCCAGAGGAGCAGAGGAATTTATCGTCAACCAAAGACGAGCTATCGTCTTTGTGGACTGGATTGCACGAAGATTTTGAGAAGAAGTTACCTAAGAAAGAAGTGCATTCTGTTGAAGATTCTATTGGTCTTTCGGGAGACAAAAGGTTGATGGGTAGGGAGCAGCACTTTGACGACATCTCTGTTGATTTGTTGGAGAAGTTCCTTAAGTCTATGCAGTTCGCTCCGATTGAAAACGCGCCACAGACTTTTGATGAGAAACCTATTGAAGGATATCGCGAAGACGTAAGTTTTATAGGGCTTCGGTATGATCGGAGGAAAGTAAGTTTCCCCGAGGAAGAAACCGTTCTTTACTCGTGGAAGAATACGTGTAGCAAAGCTGAAAAGGAGTCCAGAGAGTCGAACAATTACGAAATCCTTTTCAAATCCTTTTCAAATCCTTTTCAAATCCTTTTCAAATCCTTTACTTTCTTCCAATTTAATATACTTATCAACAAAATTTAGTCGTATCCCTAATTTTATTGCTTTATTATTATTTTCTGCAATGAAAGCTATACATTAGAAATTATTTTATTTTAATTATTATATATTAAAAATTATTTACGAATTTTATTTAATAATTGACGAATGTCATTGGCAAGTTTCATTCGTTTAGAATGCAGCTGATGCTCCACGAAACGAGGAACATGATCGAAAATTTGAATGGAGCTCGATGGATCATAGCCAGGATGCCGAAGATATATCTAGAAATATTAATTTCGAAGATAGCATAAATCAGTTTCCATCTCTCAACGATGATAATGGGAATTTCTCGAATAATCTCGAGTCAGGAATTGGACTGCTCTCTGATAGATCAGGTGAGTTTCCTTCGGTTACTATGATTTACGTCAGTGCGAATCTTGAATAACAATTACAGCGTTCTGTGTCTCTAATCTCAAACTGAAATTCAAACTGAATTGCAATGTAAGAATCACTATCTTTGGGTAGTCGTCCAAGTGGAATGCTTACTGTTAACTTTTCATTCATCTCTTTAAGGTTATACACATATCCCTAAATCTGCATATGTACATACAAAAGGTCCTATATGAGCGTCTTACAAATGGCATATTATATATGTGGGGTATCCCAGAAACGGTAGTACAACCGGGAAGAGAGTAATTTTACGTGAAAAAGCAAATCTAAAATGAAGAATAAAATTTTTTCATTCGAAGCTTCGTTGTTTAGAAAATCGACTTTGAATATTCAGTGAGCACGCGGCTTAAGTGGGTGAACCACTATACCAGCGTACTCAGTGAATATTTAAGGTCGATTTTCTAGACGACGAAGCTTCCAATGAAAAATTTTTATTCTTTATTTTCGATTTGCTTTTTCACGTAGAATCACCCCCTCTTCGGTTCTATCACCTATGCTAATGTATTGATGATTTATCCATCCAAACCATAGCTAAGTGCACGTGTACTGGATGAATATTCAAAGTCGATTTTCTCGATAACGAAACTTCGAATGAAAAATTTTTATTCTTTATTTTCGATTTGTTTTTCACCTAGAATCACCCTTTGCTCAGTTATTCTACTATTGCTGGGATACTTATACCATTATCATTACATAATTATTACACTACCGTTATGGGACTGCTGTA